TTTTGTGAGTTTTAATCACACATTTATAGGTAAGTTCAATATTCTGAGTGATCCCCCTCCACCTCTCCACGTCTCTCAGATGCCCCCCCCCCCCCCCCCGGTACAGGGGCCTGCTCTCCCACAGCCGCGTTGGGCCTGCAGGAAACAGGCCTTTCCTCCGACTAAACACGGGAGTGGAGTTGGCCCCCCACCAGACGCGCAATGCGGATTTTTTTATCTGGACGCTGCTTTGGATTGAGGGGTTCTCCACAGAGAAAAAACACGCAACACGCTCCTCCATTTCTGCTTTCCCGAATTATCTGATGTAACGCAGAAACAAGAGTAAAAAATATTTTAAAAAGACGTTTTTTACGCGTGAGATTGACGCGGAGCGTCTGAGCCATGGGGTCGAGTTAGGCTGAGAAATGGCTCCATGTTTTCATCCAGAGAGAATCCATCTAGGCTGACAGAAATAGGTCGTGTGAGAGGAAACTTTCTCTCTTCGAACTTGTGAGTTCACGCAAAAAAAAAAACATCAGAAGGGCCCCAAAACCCGTGAAGGCCATCCGTCTGATCTTATTACTTTCTGTGCAATTAACCTAATTTTAGAATAAAACTGATGAAAATAAATCATTTAAAAAGAATAAGAGTTGAATAAAAGTTTGCACAAGTTTGATTAGTTTGGTATTATTGTTTGAGGATTATTTAAATTGTTTTTAAACGTTTGTGAAGACTCTCCAGCTATTTTCTTATTCTTTTTTCTTTTCAAAAAAATTAAATAGAGATACATCAGTAACTTTTTTCTATTTTTACTTTAAAAAAATACTAATTTCAAAATGTAAACCCCAAAAACATGTCTTATGTATAAAATTCCGAAAAGATTTTCACAATGCGCATCTGAATTTGAACATTGTTCATGAAGGAAAACAGATATATAAATTAACTATTTTTTGTGTGTTTTTTCTGACAAACAAGTTGATTTTTTTAAAGGGTTTTATGTTCAACTTGTCTTTTAACATTTGATGTTGTGGAGTCGTGCCTTTTTTCTCCAGACGGAGCTGGTCCTGGTCTGGAACTCCCCGGACAGACAGACGGCCTCAGCCGGCCTGGTGGAGCTCAGCCCCGGGTGATTGATGCCTTAAAGCCTCGGCACTTTGACTGGACGCTGTTTAGAAGATAGAGAGCTGATAAAGGTGGGGGTAAAAAAAAAAAAAAAAAAACGAGTGAAGACCCTCTAATGGCGCACGGGGGGGAATCCGGACTGTCTGCGCCGTGATGGGCTGGTCTGTCTCCCCTCGTGGAGGCCGAGATGCCCCAAGAATCTGCACACACACACACACAACACACACATACACACACGGGAGACCTGTGACGAGGCCTGAGGAACCACCCCAAGTTCTGGACTTCATCTGGGGGAAATCATTCATAATAAAATAATAAAACTGCTCCGCTCCTTGAAAACTCGGACTAAAACGAATCCCCTGCGGTGTGATAAGACCAAAGAGTCTCCCTAAAGCTCGCGGGATCGTTCCACCTTGCGGATATATTCTGTACACGTTAAACTACACGCAGAGGCCTCCGTGGAAATTTCTACTTAAGTCGAGAAAACAACAGGGTAATAAATCAGAGCAGCGTGACTGTAACGACTTGTTTCCTTCTCAGTAAAACAATGGAAGTGGAGGCTTAGGAGT